TGTGCTTTAACCCGCTGCGCCACCAGGGAGGGCCCAGGAATGCAATTTTCAATAAAGCATCAGGGAAAGTGTCACTGTGATGACAGTGGCTGCTGAGTCTCTGCACACCTGGAACATTGTCCCCTTCAAGCTCCCTGAATTCCCTAACAGCTTGTGCCTCCAAGGTATAAGCCATTTGCACACACCCCCAAGTGAAAATGAGGGAGTTTGTTTTACCTGGCCTGGATTCCTCATTGGTAATTACCAATTACCAATTACCTGACCAGCCCTGTCTACAGTGGACATCACCTGCATGGCGCCTCGGCGTGGGGGGAGTGGGGGCTCTGTAGGGGAATCCTGCTACCTCTGGCTTTTCCTCAGCAGCAGTGACAGCGCAGGAGTTTGTCACGATCCTAGCCATTGTGGGGATCACATCAGAGAGGAGCAGGTCTATGACTCTCGGCAGCTTTAAGTGCCTTTTTAAAAGCCAGAAACTTAAAAAATATGCAATTAAAAGTTGTATGTGTGCCCAGAGACCTTTGTAAAAAGAACTTTTAGATATACTTAACCAAAAATTACTTTCCTTTCTGGGTGCCAGGCTCCGAGTGATGGGATACATGGAGACATTCTTGGTTTTTCTGATGCAAAGGAAAACAACTGAGCTAGGTGAGGAAGCTATAGCAAGGGCAGGGGAGGGGAAATATAATTAGGAGGGCTGAAGTACTTGCAAGCTAAATTATTTCCACTGTTTGAGATCACCAAAGAAACTCCAGTGAGATTTTCAGTTACAGAGATTTGTGTAAAAGTGGTATTTGTGAATGTTATCAAGAATCACAATAAAACCTAACATAGGGCCCTCCCTGGTGGCACAGCGGGTTAATACACTGCAAAAGAAGCTTAAGCCACTTCCGCACGAGTTTGACTCCCGCCTGCCCCAGAGGAGATCCACATGGCGTGGCAGACCTCTCCTGACCCGCCCGCTGCTCCCCTCAGCAGTGTACTTCGTCGATCTGCCTGTTCTGCTCCCCACTCTGTCTCTGGTGAAGCCTCTCACCACCCCTGAGCCTCTTACCTGTACCCCAGTTCTGTATGCACAAATAAATAAATCTTAAAAAAAAAAAAACAAACTAGCATAGCCTATGTGGAAGTTATTTAGCCTTATCTCTACCTATTTAAGTAGAAGCGCTGAATTTGGAGCTGTAGAGCTCTTATTAGAACTATTTTGTTCACATCTTAAGCCATGTTTACTAAGCTAAAGATGTAAATTTTAGCAGTGGAAGTTAGCAATAGTACCTGACTGTTTCACAAAGTTATAAATGACCCAAATAAATAGGAAAAATCTGTGGAATGTAAAACTCAATTTAAACTAACTTTCAATTTTGAAAGTAGTAATTCTAGCTTTTTATCAAAATACTCTGTGTGACCATAATGCTGCCTAGTATTGCTGGTGTATTTTCAGAATGAGTTTTCTAGAAAGTTTGATTAAGAGCTGACATTTTTTGAGCCCTCCCTCGTGGCGCAGCAGGTTAAAGCACAGCACTGAGAAGCTGAAGTCACCTCAGCATGAGTTCAATCCTGCCCTAGAGGTGATCCACATGGCACAGCAAATCTCTCCTGACCTGCCCGTTGCTCCCCTCAGCAGTGTACTTCGTCATCCGCCTGTTCTGTCTCTGGTGAATCCTCTCACTGCCCCTGCACCTCTGTCTGGTCTGTACCTCAGTTCTGTATGCATAAATAAATAAATTTTTCAACAAACAAACAAAAAAAGCTGATGTTTTTGCTGAATTCATTTTACAAGTGGAATCCAAGCCCAAGGCAGCAATATGTTGGAAAACACATTGCAAAACAGAAATAAAAGACAAAATATAAACAAAAAAGCAAATCCACTCCGTTTTCTGAGAAAGAGCTCATAGTAGCTCAAAAATTTGTCAGACTCGGGAATTGAAACCAAGGATTGACCCCAATTGCATCCTTCTCTTATATTTTCTTTTGGACCTTCATGTTGATACACTCTGACTACTGGATACCTGTCCTTAAACAGAGAGCCTAGGAGCACCCTGCTTGAACTCAAGAGAAGACTTTCTAAGGACACCTTTGTGCCCACATATCCCAGTGCAGGGCCATGGAGAATTATCTAGGTTTTATCCTTTCTTTCTTAATCATGTTTTTCACTTGGTGACTTTCTTTGTAATTTTATTGTCTTAATCCAGGCAAACCCTTTTTTACACGAAACCCTTCGGAGTTGAAAGGTAAGTTCATTCACACGAAGCTGCGGAAAAGCAGTCGTGGCTTTGGCTTCACTGTCGTTGGAGGGGACGAACCTGACGAGTTTCTGCAGATCAAGAGCTTGGTCCTAGATGGTCCTGCTGCTTTGGATGGCAAGATGGAAACAGGTACGGACACCACCTGGCCCTCACATGTCCTGCATAGGGAGCCTTTCACCCACACCTGATAAGATCAGACAGCAGCATGACGTCATGAGCTTATAAGTGTTCTTTAAAACCTTGTGAATGAACAGGTTTCTTCCACTAGATAAATGCACCCCCTACGATAGATGAACACCTCTGAAGTGGTTTTATCCTTGGGGAACTATCCAGGTGCTACTGAGCACAAGAAAGCAGTAATTACTAAAAATGTAGATCTGTTTGAATAAATGCATTCTAAACAGGGGTTCTGTAGTGAGAATTTTTTTCAGATGAAAACCCCAATGTTCTTTCAATGATTATATTTTTATTAAGAGGGAAGACATGAGATGCTACAAAAATGCCTAATTAGCAGTTAAAACAGTACTAGAAACTTCTTTTTATGCCATCTGCTACCACCCCCAATCTAATTTCAGTTTAGCTTCCTATGGGTAGTATGCTGTATTATTATATTGACAGAGCTTTTCTGGGCACCATTATTTTAACCCCCAAACTCTTAACTTTTACAGGTGATGTGATTGTCAGTGTGAACGACACCTGTGTTTTGGGACACACACATGCACAAGTCGTGAAAATCTTTCAGTCCATCCCCATTGGCGCCAGTGTGGACCTTGAACTCTGCAGAGGTTATCCGTTGCCCTTTGACCCAGATGACCCCAATACAAGCTTAGTGACATCAGTGGCCATTTTGGATAAAGAACCAATTATTGTGAATGGGCAAGAGACCTACGATTCTCCAGCTAGTCACAGTAGTAAAACCGGCAAAGTCAACGGCATGAAGGATGCCAGGCCAAGCAGCCCTGCTGATGTGGCTTCAAATGGTTCCCATGGTTACCCCAATGACACTGTCTCTTTGGCTTCTTCCATAGCCACTCAGCCAGAACTCATAACTGTTCACATAGTCAAAGGGCCAATGGGCTTTGGTTTTACCATCGCAGACAGTCCTGGGGGTGGTGGCCAAAGAGTGAAGCAGATTGTTGACAGCCCAAGGTGCCGAGGCCTGAAAGAAGGGGATCTGATAGTGGAAGTTAATAAGAAGAATGTGCAGGCGCTGACTCACAACCAAGTCGTGGACATGCTGATTGAATGTCCAAAGGGAAGTGAGGTCACACTGTTGGTGCAACGAGGAGGTATGTAGGCTCATTTTGTCCTTTGAATTTTGAACACAAAACCCATTACTTATCTTAATTGGTCTCCGAGTGGCTGTTTGGGGCTTTTTGAATGTCTACTTCAGGATCATTTTTATTTAAAGGCTTTAAAACTCATTGAAAATGCTTTCTGACTTCTCTATATGCTAGAGTCTTAGAATAAAGGTTATGTGTTTGTACATGCTGCTAGTGACTTGGAAACATAAATCAGGTTCTGCCTTTTCAAACCTTCATCCTTTAAGTCTCCTGAAACTTGCCTGCACACCTTCGAGCAAAGCGAGGCTCTCCGCCATTGTTTCAACCTCATGTCTCACTCTTCTCCTCCCCGCTATACTTAGTCACCTGGATTCTTTTCTGTATGCCTTTAGTGCTGCAAGCTGTTGCCTGTCACAGGGCCTTTGCACTTCTTATTCTTGCTGCTTAGATTTCTCTTTTCCTTTGGCTGGCTTAGTCTCATTTAAGTGTCCCTGGTAGGGCTTCTCTGATGATTTTCTCTAAAAATAACCCTCCAGTACATCCAAGAAACCTCTGCTCTATCATCCCGTTTCTTAATAGCCTCTGTCATGATTATTATTGTCACAGGCATTCTTTTATTTATTTTCTTTGTTTTTTTCACCAGAATATGAAAATCCATAAATTCAGAGCCGATACCTCCGTGTTGATAGCTTTATCCCCAGAATTTAGCGCAGTCCATGATTCCTGCTAGGTGTTCTTCAGTGAATGATTAAATAAGTGATTAGTTGTACTTGGCAGGAGCAACAACTGCACCAGTCATGTCAAAAACATCTCAACGGAATCACATTTTAATGATGTGTTTAAGGATTTCTTTTAGAAATGGGGAATTCTAAACCTTGAGGTTCCACCATTCCCTTGCCTACACACCCCTCCCCGCCCACCCCTCCCCAGGTGAGCTCTCAGGACTTCACAATGAGAAATACTTTCACGAGTTGAAAAGTCCTGCTCCAGCATTTGTATTTATGACAAGAATTGGCTGATTATCTCATTCAGTGAGTCTAAGAAGGTTGTTTTCTTGATCCTGGCTCAGGACTTCTTTCATGCACAGCATATTTAGATTCTTTGGAAAGAGATTAGATACCTGATTTTCACTTCCTCTTGTTCTGTTGCAACAAAAAAGCACATTTTTTTTTGTCACAGCAACAATGTTCTGATGCTCTTCAGAATTGAAACTATGTCTTCTGTGATCAAAATAATTTGAGGTCATTATAAGGAAACCAAAGATTCAGAGCAACTGTTTCTGTGAACTGAAATGTTCACCCATCCTTCTCAGTTCTAAAAACCTTGTGTAAATCTCAGTTTTTTTTAATGTTATTTCCACTGATGCAATTTGGAAGTCTGTTCTTATATGTACATCATTTGACAGCACTGATAGTTGTGTCTAAAGAGTGATCGAGATCTGTGCAAGGTGACATGCAGGTGGTGATGGTAATGACAACATCCAAGAGTTAAAGAAAAGTTGCAATTTAAAAAGCACTTTCTGTTCTCATTGATACCTCTCATTTCATCTTTACCATGTTCCTGAAAGGAAGGATGATGCCAGCCCATTAGGATGGAGATGTTAACCTTAAATCTTAGCTCTCAGTAGTGCTGATATGTTTCATAATTGCTGATTTCCGTGGCTGGCAACATAGAAACTTCCAATAGTTTTGGGTAGCTCAGGGGCGTATTTGATTTAGATGCTGCTTCATGTGAAAGCCACAACTAACCCTCATTTATTTGCTTCATTTTTGTCCGATGTGTTGAGTTTCTCTTTCCGATTGGAATCCCTTTTAAGGGCACCAAAACATAAAGTCTCATTACAATCAACTAATTTGCAATTGCTACTTGAACTAATTGGTAATGAATTTGACCAACTTGCAAACAACTAACCATAGAATCATATCCCTCTATTTCAAATATGTTTTCATTCTCCTTAATTCCTAAGACCTTTGTATTAATGACATAGCATTTTATAGCATTAAATTAATTTGGAAATATCCAGGATATATTGCCACATCAGTCAATATCTACATAGCTTATTCTAGAACCTGATTAATTTATAATCACAGGAACATCAGCAGACTTTAAAATACACCATATGCATTGCATTGATTTATGTGTAGATGTAAAGTTGGTATATCTGCAGTTGGCAGATAAATCTTTCTAGAAAGCATGTAAATATATTTGCTTCTGCTATACATTAGTTATTTCAATCGGGACTGACATTTTAATCATCCCTCCTGCATGTTGGAGGGTGTAAATGAGAAGGTTTGATGAAGCAACAAAGACAGCAACTAGGCTAAATGAGAAAGTAAATGCCCACTTCACTGATTGTCCCTAATGAATCTTATTTCTGTCATACCTCCTAGTAAGCAAAGTGATAAACTCATTAAATTCACGCTGTTCTTGATTCTTAAGAATTCAGATCTTGAGGGTGAGCCTTCCTAAAATGTCTTGATGAACTGTTTTTTTTTTTTTTTCTATTTTGAGGTAAAATTGGCTACAGTATTTTATTTTTATCTCTGAAGGTCATTTTTTTTTTTTATTGTTGAGGTCAGGTATATTGTGTTTGTTGGTACCTTTTTGTCTTTCTGCTTCAATTTTGAAATTAAGTCGAGATTAAAATAGCATTTGTAAATTTCAGGAGTTAGACCATTTCCTAGGTCAGGATAGCTGCAGGGTCACCCACCCAGACACTGGGCACCTGGACCACATTAATCCCTTTACTAGTCTCCTTTTTGTACCGTGTCCCCACCTGCTGGTCTGTCAAGATCTGTAAAGGAAGCTTCATTTCCCTGCCTGGTTCCCCTCTTTCCATAGAGGACCCTTTCCTCCTTCTCCCTCTGCTGTCCAGTCATGAGAATGCTTTTTATTTTTTAAATTTTTACATAACATTTGCATTTAGAAGGCCTATCATCTGACACTGTGTGAGTCTAGAGATTTTTTTGAGGTGTTTGGAAAGTCACACTAGAAGGCAATTTACTATTTTTTTTTTCAAAACCAGGTTTTTCTTTCTTTTTTTTTCATTCCAACACATAATTTTAAATTGGTCCCATAGAGGTTTTATACTTGTTTTAAAGAAAGGAAAGATACGTAGCACAGCTAGCTGTGCCCTTCTGCAAAAATATTTTGTGTATTTGCTAATTTACACCCATTAGTGGATAGGAAGTCTTTAAGAGGTCATTTTAGGTTGAGTTGGATTGCTCTGTTTCAAGAAAAGATTCGTCAATCCTTTGTGAAAGTAGATAACATGTTTTGCTTTACAGCATATATACAGAAAAGGAAGCTGAATTGGAGATGTCAGGAGTTCACATCTGGTTCAAGCTTTGCCCTAAGCTTCTTTGTAACTCTCACCAGTTTCTCCTGCCCTGATATTCTTTCTTCATCCAAAAAAATAGAATATTTGATTAGCTGCCCTTTTCAGCTCAAATTTTATGATGAGTGGAGTAGAAGCCATAGATCCTGTACCATGCACATTTAAAGCTCAGCTTCTAACTTCACTTAGCTTACATCCTTAGCAAGTCATCTGGAAAAAAATGTGACTCATGCTGCTTACTTCACATGTATACTTGTGTGATATTGATAAAGTAATGTAGCCTTTGCCTATTGCTGACGTTAAAGTTGTCATGCTATATATGTGATGTGTTTTATTGATATTGCGTAATAGGAGAAGCAGCTAGGCAGGATGCTTTTTTATATTCAAAAATTTATAATCATAGCAAATTACAAAGATCAAAGATCAAAACCAGGTTTTCTTTCTTTTTTTAAAAATTCCAATACATCATTTTAAATTGGTCCCACAGAGGGACCAATCTATTTTTTTAAAAAAATAGTAAAAGACTAGAGCCAAGATCTGCAGCGCCTTAATCTCAATTCAGGCACCTGCCTCTTTTGGAAGCTCCATTGTCAAGTCTTACTACAGTCAGGTGACAGCCAGTGGTAGGTCCCTGCTTTCATGGATCTTTCTCATTTTGATTTGATGATACATAACTTGGGGAGGGGAGGATAAGTTTATAAAGCTACAAAGTCATTTTCATTTCTGAGTAATATTTGTCTCTTAAAGTCTACTTCGTAAGCAACCGATTTCTTAGTCTTCCTTAAGGTCCGTTCCAGCTCCCCTATTCCACACTTCCTACTTTGGAAAATAGAAGGCAGGAATTGATCTCTGACATACTCATTTTGGGCAAAATCTCCCAGTGACTTTTCTAATTACAACAATAATAATAGATGAGATGTTTTGCTTTCCACTTTACACAAACTTAGTAGTGAATAATTTTGTCAGGTCACTAATGTTAGGATCTGATTACAAAATAATGAAATGTTAGGATTCCTGCAGGGCAGGATGATGTCCTGTTTTTACTTATGGTGCCTCTTGGGAAGTCATAAGTAAATAGTAACTGAATAAATTAAACTTGCTATATACATCACAACAGAAAATCATAAGCTTTAATGTTGCACTTCATAAATCTCCATAGATGATAGAGATGGTAAATGGTAAGAGTTAGATATGAAAATTGTGATGATAACTGATGTATTTTTTTAAAGAGTTTATTTATTTATGTATACAAAAAATGGATTACAGGCCAGAGGTGCAGGGGCAGCGAGAAGATTCACCAGAAACAGAGTGGGGAGCAGAACAGGCAGATTGACAAAGTACACTGCTGAGGGGTGAGACAAGAAAGGTCTGCCACACCATGTGGGTCACCTCCAGGGTGGGGATTGAACTCGTATTGAAGCAGCCATGGCTTGGCTTCACAGTGCAGTGCTCCAACCAGCTGTGCCACCAGGGAGGGCTAGATAACTGATGTATATATTTTTTGGAGCTGAGTTTGGAGTGCAGGATCCTTGGGAACACTCTTACCTTTCACCAGATCTTACCTTTCAGCAGCACATGGCAAGTTTCCCAGGTGAGTTTCTCCCCAAGACAGAGATGTTAGTTTGTTAGTTTGTTACTAGGAAAAGGGACAGAAAAGAGAAAGACACTA